GTGAGAAGGAAAGTTGCCCTGTCATTGGAATTTTGTATTTAGGTGAGGAAGTGGCCTACTGTGATAATTCAGACAGGTGGAGGATTTGTAGAAGTCATTGGATGGTTGCAAAGAATTGTGAAATTCCAGAGAATTGCATTCAAGGAAGAGCTAAGTTATAATATTTGAGAGGGAAATGGAGAAGAAGACTAAGATAGTTAGTTGCACAGTTGGTAACTTAGGACAGAATATGATTAATAAATTTCCATGATAAATGCCAAAAGAACTTTGAAAATTAGAGGAAAGAGCTATAGTCTGTTGAATTGTGGAAGATTTTCAGGAGGACAATATTTTAACTGGGCCCAGATGAATGCAGAGTGTTTCAATCATTATAGGTAGGAAGATATGAAATAACTGTAGATGATTAGGCAAAAGTTCGATTCTTTTTAACAGACTTCTAGAATCTTAGTGTTGGAAGAACCTAATCTTACTCTTTTGGATCCCTTTACTATATTTCTGCTAACTTGTTCAGTTAATGTCTGGAAAACCTAGAGTGACTGTCTATTTATGAAGTAACTGTTGGACATTTGAATAACTGGTTATTCTTGCATTATATTGAATCCAAATCTACCTTCCTGTAATTTGTATTTATCTCAGAACTGTCACCTCGTTTTAGACTTTGCGTCTGTGTTAACATAACCTGAGATTGTTTAACTTGGAGGCAGCCCCATTATATTATTGATTTACTAAACTTCCTTTATTCTCAGTTTCAAAAGTAAATTTAAATAAGCTCTATATTTATTGCCTAAAAGTTGAAGTTTTCATTAGCAGGAAAAGCCATAATTTGTGTGTGTGTGTGTGTGGGGGGGGTGGGCTTCATTATTTTTGTTGTTCTTGTTTCTTAGTGGTACTGGGAATTGAACTCAGGGCCTGCCTCATACTAGGCAAGCACTCTACTACTGAGCTACATCCATAGTCATTTTTATTACTTTGATAAACTGTCTTGCCTAAGTTGCCCAGGCTGATTCAAACTTAGGATTTTGCCTTGGCCACCCAAATAGGGATTATAATTGTGTGCCATGATACCCAGTTTAAAAAAAAAAAAAGTTATTTTGAAGTTGAGGAGATGAATATATTATGTAGAATCTAAAGCCTAGTGTGACTTTTTGGGGGTCTTATTTGTGTTTCTTATTTCTTCCTTTACTACCTTTCAATGTGTATTATTGACACACTCAATGTTTATTATTGAGAGATTCATAAAGAATGGGTGACAATTGATTTTTGAGCAGTTTCTTATGAGAGCTGGAGTAGATGTGCTTCAGGAATTAAGTCTAGGCAAATGGAAAGGAAAAATTTTAAGAAACTGTAATGAATAAAAGGGATATTGATTAAAAATTCACAGGGACTTGAGGTAGGGTAGGCAGAGTAAAAGAATAGAATGACCTTAGTCTCTAAAAGGTATTCCAGGCTCTGTAAAGTGAAATGAAGCTGATATAAGCATCTTAGGATCTGTATAAATAAATAGTATTGCTAATGTTTTTAATTCACAAAAGATTTGTTTATCCAGAGCCAGGATAAATTTTATATTGTCTTACTACACAATGCAATCTCCCTGTTTTCAGGTGTCATTGCAAGAAATGGGGTTTAATACATGAAATGTCACTTTCTGTAAAGCAGTGGTGATAATTGCTCTTATCTTTAAAGGTGCAAGAGCAACCTCTAAGATTGTTTTTATACTGTGTGTGGTCTTCTAGGGTTGACCAGAGATTTCTTCTCAATTTTTATTTTAGGAAATTGAGATTCAGGAAGGTTGAGACTTTTTCATGATCATAGATACGTTTTTTTCCTCACTCTTATGTTCTGAACTTTATTTTGATGACTTTAAAAAGGAAAAAAGAAACATCCAAATCCAATAATCATTTATCATTTAGTTGGGTTACATAGCCATGAAGAATAAAAAGCACACTATTCTTTTTATTTGTAATCACATTTTATTCTGAGTGTAATTTGGCTTTTTTTTTCTTATATGCACCGGCTATGTATGTGTTACAAAATTGAGTAATATCAATATATTTTCCCCACCTATTCAAACTACTTGTTCTGTGGCTCATCTGTAATCTATACCAAATACTTTTTTGATGCCATTCCTTATTTGTTGAACTAATCTCCCTTCTCAAGGGGAGAAAATTGGAAGATGGGCAGAGAAATGGAAGGTGGATAAAAAAAGGCAGTTGCTCATGAAAGACACATGTATTAGTCCGTAAATAAGTAGTAGGGTTTTTTCTTTCTTCTTTTCTCTAGTACCTTCACTTTCTGCTTGATTTCCATCAATTAATTATATCTTGGCTTTCTGAATTGAGTCATTTTAAGTAAGAGTGGTAAAGACCTGATCTGTAAGTATTGTATTGAAACAGTTTCTTAGTAACATCTTCATTTTGTCTTACCATCCTCTGTGGGAGCTTCTTCCTCGCTTTAAAACAAATAGTGGACTATACATAACCCATTTTATACATTATCTCATTCACCATTTGAGTTTCGTTTTTAATGTTTCCTCTTTCCTCCTTTGAATAAGTTATGCTAAATAATAACTTACTGAATAATGATAAATTGAGTATTGGTTATCTCTTCTTCACTTTTGATTTCAGTTGATACTATTATGACCAGCATACTTCAGTGACTTTATATATAGTGAGCAATTTGAAGCCTCTCTTGAACTTTTTTACAATGAATCTTAAATGTATTTTGACTTGTCTTTGATATGTGTATTTGGCAACTTTTTATTTTGAGAAAGAACCAAATATATAAAGGTAAAAATGGTAGGTGAAATATTTATTTTATGGATATGATGAAATTTGAGATAAAAACAGGCATTACTGTACAAGATGTGGAAATTACCCAAAATCCAGAAATGATCCCTAATGGCATTTCTTTATTTCCTTCTCTCTCTCTCTCTCTCCCTCTCTCCCCCTCCCCCCCCCCCTCCCCCTCCCTCCCTCCCTCCCTGTTCCCTCTCTCCCTCCCTCCCTGTTCCCTCTCTCCTTCCCTCCCTTCCCCTCCCTCTTTCTCCCTCTTTTTGCTGTACTGGGATTGAACCCAGGGCAAGCTCTTTACACTGAGTGACATCCTCAGCTCCCTAATAGCATTTCTGTCACAGTTTGAAGAAAGTTTTGTACATAATTGTATTATCCAGGGGTATTTTATTCTGTGTCCCCTCCCCCATCCAGGTATTTAACACAGGCTACTTTGCCACTGAGCTACGTTTCTAGCCCTTATTTTTTATTTTGAGACAGGATCTCACTAAGTTGCTTAGGGCATTGCTTAGTTGCTGAGGTTGGCCTTGAGCCTTCTAAGCTGCTGGGATTGCAGGCATAGGATACCCGGCACTTTATTATTTTAACATCCATTGTAACAATATTAAAATTGCATAATTTCTCCGTTTTAATTATAAAGCCTTACTAGGTAGCTCTACTTTTTTTTTTATCTCCCATTATTTGAAATAAAAACATTAAGTTGCTTAGTTTTGCTACTGTGTTTTATTTTATTTCTGGTGGTGCTGGGAATCTATCCAAGGCCTGTACATGCTAAGAAAGTACTCTACCACTGAGTTGCATTCTCATCCCAGCTTTGCTACCTCATTTTTAAGTTCCTATTCTTGTAATTGTACATGATGAGTAGTTATCATGATCATCTATTATTTAAATGTAGGAAGTGACAGTCCTTCTATGCATTAAGGGTAGTTAGCCTAACTACCTTATTGGAAGTTTTAGGTTTGGAGAAAATAAGTGGCACTCAAAAGGGCTATAGCTGGACATGGCTTTGTGAATTTACTATTTCTGAAAGTAAATTGGGCATTATAAATACATTTAAACATATTTGGGTATTTTTGTACATCAAGTTTGAAAATTTCAGGACAATTGCAAAGGGAGAAGGAAGGAACCCAATAGAACATGATGTAAAGCTGAATTGGAAGTTGCTAGAATTGTGTAGTGCTACAGTCTTATCTATGTTCTATCGTAATCAATACCTGACTTTTATGAAAACAGCATCATATTGTCATGACTATTGTAGGCTGTTTTTGGCTATGAAAGTTTTTAATTGTTTAAAGTGTGTTCAAATTTGTTAAAATAGGAATTTAAGCTGCATTTTTATTTGCCCAAAAGTTAATTACTGATTATTGTTCAAGTGATTTGAAGTATAGTGAAAAAGGATGGTTGATTTTATGTATGTATAAATAACTTGTATTTATGATTGAACCCAGGACTTTATCTATACAAAGCACTCATTCTACTAATGAGCTGCACCGGCATCCCAATTACATGTTTTTTTGAAAAACAAGTCATACTCAGGTTTGCATATATTTTTGCCTCTCTTCTCCTCAGTTATTAATGTTATAGTTTTGGTTGTTCTGTGTGCTATAAGCATAAATGATGAGAAGTTGTGTCTATTTTGTGCTAATTCTTCTTGGAATTTCTTTTAAGAATAAGAAAGTTCTTCCTCCTATACTAAGGGTTAGGGAAATCAAGGAGGGATAAAAGAAGATGGAAACTTTCAAGACTGGAAATTATTGTTTTGTTGTAAAAAAATTTTTTTTGTACTGGGAATTGAATGCAGGGTTTCACCATGCTAGACACTTGGTTTTCCATGAATCTACATCCCCAACACCTCTCATTTTGAGGGGGAGGAGAGACAGGGTCTCCTATGTTAGCCATGCTGGCTGCCAACTTTTGATTCTCCTGCCTTAGCCTCTCAAGTAGCTGGCATTACAGGTGTGTGCCAATAGGACTTTTGTTGTAAGTTAGTTTTAATGAATAATGTTAATTTTCTTTATTCCCATTTTTATGTCTTAAAAAAACATTTCATAGGATTGCAAGTTTGAGGCCAGCCCCAGCAACTTAGCGAGGCCCTGTCTCAAAAAAAAAAAAGGGGATGGTGATGTAGCTCAGTGGTAAGAAAATGTATTTCATGGTAGTTTACAAAGATGATTTTTTAATAGTTAATTATTCTTGTGTTTGCTCCCTCAGCATTTGACATTGTGCAGCAAAGAAATGGTTATGGAGAAGCCCAGTCCGCTGCTTGTAGGGCGGGAGTTTGTGAGGCAATATTATACTTTGCTGAATAAAGCTCCAGAATATTTACACAGGTAAATTTTAAACAAATTATTTAGTGTTTTTATTAGTTTTTTTTTATTACTACATATATTTTAACTTTCCTGACTCCTCATAATTTAACAGTATCTTTATAAACATCTCTAAGCCATATCTGCTACTTTTTATCATGTAATGACTCAAGACTGGTATTTTTTCTAAAGTTTTTTACTATAGCCCACAGTAAAAAAAAAACACATTATATCCCAGTACTTAGTACATTCATATATATATATATATATATATATATATATATATATATGCATACACATACTTTTTTGTAAACTCTTGCATTTTATATTTCATTAAAAGAGTAATTTGGGACATGACCGACTAATGGGTTCCAATATGAAATTAGAAATAATGTCTTAAGGCATCTTTGAGCTTTTACAGTCTCGGGAAATTAATCAGTTATATTCTTAATGAAAATTTGTATTTGAATAAAAATAGTGTTCCTTGGTAAAATAATAGTAGCCTTGTTTACTGTTTTGGCAAGAGTTAGGCCAGCTGTAAGCTAATTTTTCCAGAGATTGAAATGAAATTGATTTATGTTGTGGGTTGTTCTTATTTTGTTCTGGTTATATCTTAGCAAGTAGAAGGTGAGATTCTTATAAGAATCAGGATTTGTTAAGTATTTGCTGTAGAACACACTGAGTGAGTTAAAGAGAAATATATCATTTTTCTTCCTCTGGGAAAAGGCTGTTAAGATTTAAATTCATCTGTTGATCTCGATGTATCTATCCTTCTCTCTTTCTCTCTCCCTCTCTTTCTCTCTCTCTTTTGGTGGTGCTGAAGATCAGTCCCAGAGCTTCACACATGCTATGCAAGTGTTCTGCCACTGAACCAACATTTCCAGCCCTTCACGTCTTAATCAAGTGTTCTATAAAGTTCGCTTTTATAATTTGTCCTGCACTGTTGAACATATGTGTAATATTTTCTGCTTTCTAGGGGTATTTTTATAAATAATGTTTGTTGCGCTCCTTTCCAAGTACTGAAATATGTGTATCATCATATGTAATCCTTATGGAAGTCTTTTTAAAAAAAGAAAAAAAAGTGTAGGTGCTTTTATTATCTCATTTTCCAGATTGAACAACTGAGGCTAATAATTACTTCCGGATCATTCCTGGTTAGTAAGGAGATTAGAAATTCATCTACAACTACTTGTATATAAGTTATAATTAACATGCTGCCCCTCCACCCAACCCCAAAGTGAATAACTGTTTTTGTAATTATAAAAATAAAAATATGAGAGTGTATGTGAGAGAGTTGGGAGGAAACTGGAATATAAGGACATTTCATAATATGGATATTAGCATTTTCTCTTATAGAAACAATAAAAGCAAAGTTTAGACTAGTAGGACTGTACATTATCATGTTCACCATCATGTTAAGAAACAGCATAGACTGCTGTTTTATACCCAGCTTATTTAACCACTTTCCCTCTTAAAATCAAGATTGTTATAAATATTTTACTGGTATAAACAACACTAAGAAATGTCCTTAACCATGCATTTTTGTGCACCTTACTAGTTAAGTTATATTCTTAGAAATAAGTTCCCGGAATTGTTACTTGAAAGGTATGATTCTTTCTAAGGCTTTTCCTACACATACACACATACTCTGTCAAATTTTTCTTTAGAAAAATAATGCCACTTTGCATGCTTGTAGTAGTACATAGAGAAAATAGTGTAAATTTTTAAATATAGGATAGTGCTTAAAAGTGTGGACTCTGGAGTCAGTTTCTATCTGGGTTCTTGTCCTAGCTGCTCTTATTGATGGGTATATGATATGGGGAGTTCATTCAATCTCTTCTGAACCTGTCTGCTCATTTAAATAATAGTGTTTATTTTATGAGATTGTTAGGAGAATTAAATGAATCAATATATGCCATGCACTGAGAATATTGCTTGGTACAGAAAAACTTCTTACATGTTTTATTATGATGGAGATGAATTCTCTCTGAAAAAATTAGCTTTACATTTTTGATAACATTAATTTAGAAAGATGTTAATTCTCATTACTTTAAGTAATGCCAGAGAAAGTCTTAACTTATTATCTACTTTGGAACAACATAAAAATATTAATGAGAAATTAGATGCTGAAGTAATTACACTTTTTACTTGGTCTGAATTGTTTTAATTTAAAATCTAAACTTTTAATTGAAGCCTTTGGAGTTAGTAATCATTTGGAGCTCTGAGTATTAAATGGAACATCTGATTTCTAGACAAATCTAGGTAACTGAGTCTTTTTATCTGAAGAAGATGAATTTTACCAGAGCATTTGTATTTAGAGTGTACTTGGACTATTTCATTCTTCACTTGAAATAAAGATGTGATAAGTACTAGAAGAGAATAGCTAATGATTATCATCTTAGTGTGCCAGATACACTAAGCATTCAATTCTTGTGACACTCTGTGGAGGTAGTTAACTACTCTACTATTTTGTAGCTAAGGGAACTGCCAGGCATAAGCCTGTAATCCTACTGGCCCAGGAGCTTGAGGCAGGAGAATGGCAAGTTCAAAGACTGCCTCAGCAATTTAATGATGGACTAAGCTATTTAGGAAGACCTAGTCTCAAAATTTAAAAAGTTTTAAAAAGGACTGGGGATGTGGCTCAATGGTTAAGTACCCCTGTGTTCAATCCCTAGTACCAAAAATATACATATGTATATATGTATGTGTTTATATATGAAATTGAATTTAAATATTGAAAATTAAGTAACTTGACCAAGATTACCCATCTAGTGACAGCTGGACCTAGGGCCTAGTCTGTTTGACGCTAGAACTCTACTGCCTTTTAATTCATTAGTAATCCTTAATTATTATTGTTTTTATAGGTTTTATGGTCGGAATTCTTCCTATGTTCATGGTGGAGTAGATGCTAGTGGAAAGCCCCAGGAAGCTGTTTATGGCCAAAATGTAAGTCATTTCACATAAATTTTAAACATCTTGTGTTAATAGAGAGATCTCAAGAGGATTTCTTCTTCATTATAATTATTAGTTGTACCTGGAATGAATTTCGGTAATTACCAAGTGCGCTTGGAATTCTTAAACATACATCCATTTTGTTTGAAACATGGTATTGCTTTGGGATGGATACAGTGAAGAAAATGTGATGTTTTATATCCTTGATAATTGTACATGAAATAACTAGTGTAAGTTTCTACACATGTAGATTGAACCCTCTTTCAGGAATGCACAGAAGTATATTCTCTTTATGACTTACTAGGGAAGGAAGACTGAAGAGATGGGGGACTTCAGTTAGATTCCCAAGATTTAGCCTTACCAAACACAAAGAAATTCGAAGTAGAAAAGTGCATCAGCAAATATGACAATGAAGTAAAATTAGATGTGACATCAAGGCGCAGTCAACACTGTGAAATTTACTACTTACAGAAAAGTAGGAGAAAGCTGTATACCAAGCTCAGATTACTGTACAAAATCTGAGAGCCATTCTGATTTCTTGTATAGGGAGATGAAATGTGGAAAATGGTCTTTTTAGGAGCATCGTCTGGCACTGGTGTGTAGCATAGTATAATGGATTCAAGTGAAGTAGAAAGATTAAGTAGTTAATGTTTTGGAGGTATGAGGAAATCATGGGTAGGTAATGGTTTTTGTTGAGGTAGTGCAGAATCACAAGAATTTGTATTTCCTTCCCTCTTTTGCTTTATAAAGGATATACACCACAAAGTGTTATCTCTGAACTTCAGTGAATGTCATACTAAGATTCGTCATGTGGATGCTCATGCAACCTTGAGTGATGGAGTAGTTGTTCAGGTCATGGGTTTGCTGTCTAACAGTGGACAGCCAGAAAGGAAGTTTATGCAGACCTTTGTTCTGGCTCCTGAAGTAAGTTTTCATTTACATGATTTAATTTGTTAATTATTGGTTAATGTGTCCAAGAGTGTCTTCTAATAGGTTTAGATTTGTGTATTTTTGAGAAATTTTATTGGATCTGTTAATACAATTTATTTGTGTATGTCCTTGTACTAAAACTATATGGAATTAGAAGTTAGGTACCGATTGATACAAGTATATAAATGGGTGATTAAGTATATAGAAATAATATAAAAGTATATTGGTATATTTTATTTATTTTGCCGTGCTAGGGCTCAAGCCCAGAACCTTGCATATTTTAGGCGAGTGCTTTACTATTGAACTACATCCCTGTCCCTGTATTTGTATATTTCAAAGATTACACAGAGGGGGTGGGGGTGGAAAAGTTCTATTTATTAATTGGTCCTGATTTTCTTCTATTGAGAAGAGTTTTCGTTTATATTAGATTAACATCATAGTGTGTCTAGCTTTGGAAAATTATAATGAATTCAGATTTTCTCTCTGGTATTAAAATTGTATATGTCAATGAGTAATATTGAATTCATGGATATTAATGGAGTATTTGTACATTGTTTACCTGTAGGGATCTGTTCCAAATAAATTTTATGTTCACAATGATATGTTTCGCTATGAAGATGAAGTATTTGGTGATTCTGAACCAGAACTTGATGAAGGTGAGATTATTTTGACGATAAAAGGGTTCTGCCAGTGCTTTTAAGGACTCTTTAATTTCTCTAAGTATGAAATGTTTAGAAATTTAGCCTTTTACTGTAACTAAGTCAAACTTCCTTTTCTTCTCTTTCACCCTTTGTTTTTTGTTAGGAAAGACAGTGATGTTTGTTATGAAATTTTATCAAACATAAAAGTTTTCATCAGTGTCATCCCATTTAGGTAATCATAAGTTTGGTGCCTATTATGTATAGACTTTTTTTTTTTAATCCTATGCTTACTAGCACTTTTATCAAAATGGAGTTAACTGATAAAAGCTTTAAAAAATATGTTTATTTTTTACTTATAGGTGGACACAATATTTTTATTTTATTAATTTATTTTTATGTGGTGCTGAGGATCGAACCCAGTGCCTCACGAGGCATGCTAGGCGAGTGCTTTACCACTCAGCCCCAGCTCCAGCCCTAGCCCCAGCCCTAGCCCTGATAAAAGCTTTTCTTTCCCCCTTCACCTAATATATTTTTATTGGCTGTCCATTTTGTGGCTAATACTGTAATTATGTGATTGATCTTCCATTAGTGTACACTAGTTTGTTTCCTTCTCTATAATTACTGCTTTATTAAGTAGAGGTCACAAGGAAATTGAGTTATGTATTTTAGTTCCTTTTTTTTATTAATATGTCTTGTTAAAATAGAGTACAATAAAAACTTTATCCTGCTTGTTCTTTTAAGTTTCTTAAGAAAAAATATTGAAATTGTATAGCTTTGTAAAAATTTGTCTTCTAAACTAGTATTCCACTTCCTTAAACATATTAAAAATATGTATTAGAAATTATATAAACCCTCTTAAAAAAATGTCATGTATTATATATTGTCAGAGTCAGAAGATGAAGTAGAAGAGGAACAAGAAGAAAGACAACCATCTCCTGAACCTGTGCAAGAAAATGCTAACAGTGGTTACTATGAAGCTCACCCTGTGACGTAAGAATAATATTTGCAAGGTTACGTTTGGTTTGAACTAGTTGCAAGGTAGCTTTTGTTTCTAGGATTGTTGTTGGAAGTTTAAAAAAATTAAAAAAAAAATTTTATTTTTAAATTCTTTTAGTAGTGAGTGCTTTGGGTCAAACCCAGGGCCTTGTGCATACTAAATATGCACTCTACCATCAAGTCTCACCCTCAGCCCCTGGAAATAGATTTTTGATAAAACTACCTAGTAGGCCAGTATTTGAGTTCTGTTGTGTGTATGCAAGAAATGTGGACAGAATTGTATCACTTAAATTGAATATGTTTGCATCAAAATGGTGGGGATTTACTATTAATGCAGAATGTTTAAGATAACACAGAGTAAGCGTTCTATTTTATGTAAAACATTATATAAAATAAAGGGTTTATAAAATATTAGTACTTTTGTAAAAATATTCTTGGTTAATCAAGTTTTTAAATTGTTAGGTTGAGCTGGAGATATAGGTTAGTACTAGAGTGCATTCCTAGCATATGAGAGGCCTGGATTTGATCCCCAATACTGCAAAAACAAAAAACCCAACTTCTTATAGAACAGGTTATTGGCTTATAACTAGTTATGTTCTTTGGACTGGAGAGACATTGAATGTAACTGATCATTTTATACTGAAGAGTAAACTAAACACTTTATTGTAGTAATGGCATAGAGGAACCTTTGGAAGAATCCTCTCATGACCCTGAACCCGAGCCAGAATCTGAAACAAAGACTGAAGAGCTGAAACCACAGGTGGAAGAAAAGAACTTAGAAGAATTAGAGGAGAAGTCTACTACTCCTCCTCCTGCAGAACCAGTTTCTCTGCCACAAGAACCACCAAAGGTTAGATCAAAGAAACTCTTCAGACCTCTAACATTACACATATATATTTGGTGTCATTAATGAAGCATGACTGTTTTGTGTTAAATTATTTAATATAGTAAACTATACATTTTTTATGTATATGAAAGAAGCTGTGGAGTGTTTTGTTATCCTGAAGAAGTTGCATTGGTTTTTTTTTCCCCCCTCCCAATAAAACCCCTAGTAGTGAAATTTATAACTTCAGATTAGTCTTTGTCTGTATTTAATGTTTAGTTATGTACATGAAATTATTCCAGTCCATGTATAAGGCTGTCAGTTGCTCTTCCCTTCTGTATAAAATCCTCTAAGCACAGATGCACCAGGAATCGTGCAGTTTCCCAACTTAAGTTGGTCTGTAATTAAAAGAGATGCCTATTGTTTGTGGTTTAAAGTGGGATCAGTTTCCTTACTACACCAATTAACTGTCTTGAAAAGATAAGTAACACCAGTAGTGTATCATGTAAAACTTCTTTTATCTCTCTGTAAAGTAGAAGGTTAAACTGTTTGGGTAGTGAGAGGAAGAGATTTCTTGTCAATTTGAGAATGTCTTTTAAAGTTTTCAACTAGTATTCTTATTCCTTCCTGTCTTTCCCCCTTTCCCTTTAACACCATCACACACCCTGTTTTCCCCCAAAAGGGGAAAGAAATCTGTCCTATCAGGTTCAAAATTTTCTAGCATGTTTAGCTGTTAGTGATTTTGTTGGCCACTCGCTCATCTACTTAGAATATGTAGGAACTTGATTGTGGTTTTATTTAGTAGTTCAGACAAAACATTTATAATCATGCATAATGAGATTTTGAAAACTGGCACATAGACTGGCATGTGTGTGTGTGCCTTTCTTGTAGGAATCCTCCAATATAAAGCAATAGTTTAGAAATGAAAAGAAAATATATATTTGGAAGTTTCCCTATAGGAATGTTGGTGGTTTTCCATGATTAGTAGTCTAGGTTTGTTGCATTTCCTGCAGGCTTTCTCCTGGGCTTCAGTGACCAGTAAAAACCTGCCTCCTAGTGGTACTGTTTCTTCCTCTGGAATTCCACCCCATGTTAAAGCACCAGTCTCACAGGTAACCAATCTGTGAACACATTGGATTGTATCCTTGTTACATTGCCAATTGCTTACTTTTTTTTTATATATATATATACATATATATATATATATATATGTATATATATATACTTTTTTAAACAAGTCAATCAGCAATTATGGATTAAATATACAAAAAAATTGTATTAAATGTCAGTACACCCACTTTAAATGCCAAATCTCCATTCATCATCTACATAGGTGGTATTTGGGGTTCGGGTGTGTGAAATACAGATTAAGTTGGTTTTACCAATATATAATATTGTCATTTAAAAGGCTTCTCAAAATAATAAAAAGTTCCTTTTAAAAATTTTAAATTTTATTTTGCAAAAATACTTTAGGTAAGAAATTTGGAAAGGCACAAAGTAGTGTGGCATTATAAAGAATTATTGTTTTTAAAAACTAGAGAACTTTTTTTAATATACATTACCTAAACTCTCAGTCTGTAAGTGGTTCACACTGTTTAATTGAAGCCTGTACCAACTTATGACTGTAGTGTTCACCTTAACTGATTGATCATTCCAGTATTCTGCTTTTTGTCTGTTTGTCATCTTACCCATTTCAGAGCTTTCCAAAAATGCGAAAATAAAAACATTGGCTATTTATGATGTTTGTTAGATATAGTTTAGATTAGCTAACTTTTATTTTTAAATTCATTGGCATAGTTAAAAGGTGTCCAATTCTTTTTTTCCCCACATTTTGAGTAAATGTCATTCCACTAGATTTACATCTAAGATTGTTAGCTTATTTACCTTATATATGCTCTAAACAGTAAAACTTTGAGGTTTCAAAAGTAGCTGGTAATTATTAGGCAGTCTCTCTGGTATTGGTATACATTATAACATCTTAATCTGCTATGTAATAGAATACACAGTGCCATAATACCCCTACCCCTTTTTTAGTTAGATATTCAGGAAATAAACGGTTACCATAGGATCACAAACGAGACTCAATCTGAATGAAGAAAATGAGTTTGCCCAGTATAGTTTATGCTTTTCAACTCAGTTTCAGACCTGATAAGTGACTTGTGGCTTTTCTTTTAAAATCTTAATTTCCTATCAGATTTGGATTTGGAACCTTTGGATGGTTATTTCATTTCATGGATTTGGTTACATTTATTTAAAATAGTTAAAAGTTAATTAATGCTTATTGTACCTTTCATTTGTACTTGGCGTTGTGCTAAGCACTTCATATTTATTCTCATTGAATCCTTACATTCATCCTGTGAGAGCAGGTACAATATTTCTCCTAGTTTAGAAATAAGAAAATCGAGGCCTAGAATAACTCACTCATGGTCATACAATTAAAATAGTAGGATTGAGTCTTGATTTATGTAGTTGAACATTAGATTCCATATGTGACTCATGCACACCTACACATTTCTTTAGAAATTTGTTGAAGGATACAGTATTTGTGTTTATATCAAAGAAGAGTTCTATATTTAAGACATGCTAAAATTGCATTATATTCTTGCCTTTTGCCCAGACAAGTAACTGTTCACATTATCTTAAATAATTTAAGTTGCAAGTATTTTTCAGAGTTATTTTTCAGATTCTAGGAAACTAGGTTGTATTGGTTTTACCAATATATAATATTGTCATTTAAAAGGCTTCTTAAAATAATTAAAAAAAAATTCCTTTAAAAATTTTTAAATTTTATTTTGCAAAAATACTTTAGGTAAGAAAATTTGGAAAGGCACAAAATAGTGTGGCATTATAAAGAATTATTGTTTTTTAAAAATAGAGAACTTTTTTTTTAATATACATTGCCTAAGCTCTCAGTCTGTAAGTGGTTCACACTGTTTAATCTTAGAATTTTAAAAAAATTTTTAAATCTGTTTGCACTCTATTTAGAATAAATTATATTTCCACTAAGTTTAATAACTTTTCAATTTTGTTTTTATTTTGAAGTAGTATTAATTTCTTTATACTCTAATTGATTAAATGATGAAATTAGTTCTAATTCTAGTTTATTGGTAGGCATTAATTTAGAAGTAGGTAAGTTAATTTTTTGATAAAATGGTTTTGTGTAGAAATGCCTAGGTCATCTAAATAGCTTATGGTTAACTAGACGACTTGTTTATTAGTTGTGTTTGTAATTGCTTTTACTGACTTGATTTGATGGTTCCATTTTTATTTCATATTCTGTTTGACATTTATTTGTAGGATTTGTTACATGATCAGACTTTCTTGTTACATGAAATTAATTATAAGATCCTAGTTGTAGCATGTGGGATATTAGCCATTTTATCTGTTTGGAATAAGTAGCTTCAATTATTGGTCCCCATCGCTTCTCGGCCTTTTGGCTAAGATCAAGTGTAATTATTGGTCCCCAAGAATTATAAATGTACAGTTGGCTTAGGTTTTGTTAATCAGATATTGAAAGGAACATTGTTAGCTTTTTGGTCTCATATTTTTCATGCATTGGTATCATCAAATATTTACTTGCTGAAGTAGGTCAGCTTGCTAAATCAACGTTGTGAATTATTTTTAAGATGTTGGAAATTATTTAAATTTATCTGGAGCCTTATTTTGCTACCTGCAGTTGCTTTGTTTTGGTCATGTTTTGAAAAGAAGTTAAATTTGTCAAGGTTAGTGCCTCAAGTTCTTTGATAACATTTGGATGGATGTGTCTATGGTTTTTCTGGAAATTTTAAATACAAGGTACATTTGCTATTTTTATTTCTACCAATATACTAGCTTCGTTAAACTTTGAACAGAACAAATCTATTCTTTAATTTTGTTATACATTCAGACTGAAGGTATGCATCTTAGACTCCCTTAGTTGAAATTTCTAAATATAACTGCCTTTATTAGGCATTACATTTTGGATCAGTTTTTTAGTAAAAATTTCCAAATACAGACATCAGTGATCTCAGGGCTAAGATCCTATTGTTAGACATAGAACATTCTCCTATGTGTTTTGGGTCAGAGAACTGAAGATGAAGTTTACTTTTAAATGAACCAATAGTGGTTGAACGTCTGTGTCTAACAGCGCTGTGCTTGGTTCTTTGTGTGATATGAAAATGAATTAACATGTATAATATTTATAGGAATGAATACATACAAATAAAAAACTGGAGAGATTTAAAATTAATTTTTAAAATAGAATTCTAGAACATGAAACAATTTCATCTTGAGGAAAATGGCACAGCTATATGGAGGAAACAATTTGGAAGAGAGAGGCAGATATGTTAAAAACTGCTAGCATATCAGTTAATATATCTTTTGGTTACAGTGAAATCATTGGCAATATAAATGGTCATATTTGAAAGAAGTATAATTTTTTGTCTCCAAATTTATTTTCACAAATTTTATTATCCCAGTTATATTAGTGGTAAAAGAGTTTAAGCCGTTGCTTGGGTTGAGGTCCTCAGAGATGATCACTTACAAAGATGAGACTGAAATTACTAGCTTTCAACTTTGAGGATGTGTTCTGAATATCCTGCTGGGTATTTTCAGCATCCTTTGAAGATTTATATATTTTGCCTCTTCCATGGATCATAAATATTTGGGCAATGATAGAAAGCCTGGATGGGTTGGGAATTCTGAAAATTTTGTTGTATTAAGGAAAAGGTAATAGCAGATGTGCATGATATTTTGTTTTAAAAATAGTCACTTTATGTGTTTAATTAAGCAATTAGCAGAAACTTTTGGAGACTACCTTAAATTATTCTATCCCTACCCCCCTACCAACTACAGTTAAGCAAAATTGTTTGGGTCAATGCTTTTTTTAAAAAAAAAAGTGTACATGTTAATCAAAAGGAAGAATAGTAAGGAGCTTAAAGGACTTCTTTGACTATTTGAGATGCTACATAGAAGTTCTTATCATTCAATGTGCATTTAAACCTAGAAGTAGCAGTTTTGAGTGCTAGAGTAAGCTAAATTATATACTTGGAACTATTCAAGTATTGATTTTAATGTGGTGGGAGTTAGGAGATACAGTTGAGCACTGTAACATCTGAAGGCCAGCAAACTAGATATTTAGAAATAATGTGTCTTATATTTGTGTCTTTCTAAGATAAGATAACTTTTATTTTTGTTTATGCATTTACATGGAGTGGGCTCATCTTGCATTTTTGTGATTTTTATTTTTTAAAATTTTTTTAGCAGTACCTTTATGCTGTGTCAATGTGGGTATAACTTTAATAAAGAAGATTACAAAATTTGAGAGTTATATAGCCTTGAGTGGGAAACTAAAACCTACCTACAGTCCTAGATTGGTACAGAATTTATTTTTCACATACATAGGGACACTGTAAAAACATTATAAACTTTGAAATTATCATTATCTCTGCTTGTGACTTGCTGATAGTTGCTTTAGTTGTTTTTTTTTTCCTACAGAATGTGTTTGTTTATAGTATGTTTTTTTTCCCTTATATTTTAGCCAAGAGTTGAAGCTAAACCAGAAGTTCAGTCTCAGCCACCACGTGTTCGTGAACAACGACCTAGGGAACGACCTGGTTTTCCTCCCAGAGGACCAAGACCCGGTGAGTCAGCTTTTTTATAGCCTTTAGCATTTAGCTCTTGGAAAGTTGGAAAAGACTGAATTTTTGTAAAACCATAATGGGTTTTATACACAAATCTTTGTATCAAATTGCTTAAAGATGTGAACAACCTGTTAAAATACAGCTTGGGGCAGAAAAGCCAACTTTTTTTAAAGAGAGCATTTATTTGATGACATGCCGTAGAGTCATGTATTTTGGAGGTATTTTATACCACTAAACTTGAGACACTTTTATTTATTTGGTTATTGTCACTGGTTTTAAGAATTCAAAACCTAGCTGCCAATAGCCTACTCTTACTTAGCACTCTTATCTCTTCACAGATAAACACTAAGCACACCCTGATTCTTCTTATTTTGATTGTCTTAGGTATTAAGTAAGTTGCCATGATTTTTGACTTGTTTACATTGCTAGCTAATAATACATGTAGTACCTTTATTTGAATTCTATACAAATGTTTAGATTGCTTTTGGGAGGAGGCGGGAGATCGTATATTCAAATTTAGAATATTATTTGTCAAAAAAAAATTTTAAATAAGTTTTTTTTGTGACTAAATCAGAAGTCACAGAAGCTGGGGATTTATCCTGGCTTTGCTACTGGTTTTGTTCATGGTATTGAGTGAGAGCTTAAATTCTTAGCTTTCTTTAATGCTAATTAGTTATTTACAAACATTTTTGTGTGAGTAATACCTGTCTTATACAACTCATTGTGCTGCTTGTATATTGGGACAATCAAATAAGATTTATAGATGAGAATAATACATAAAAATGACTATGTAAATGAGATATTGGTACTATTAAAATTTACTGATTTGACTGCAATGTCATAGAAAGATTTAATTTTTGAATTAAAAGATTAAACAGATATTTAATAGAACTATACCTATCTCAAGTAGGCTTGGTATTTGGGTGATGGCAATAGTTTGGTTAAGGAAGAATACCTGTACTTCTGTTATTATTTGACTTTTTTGAAATCAGACCAGTAGTCTACCTGAAGGGACTTCAGCAGTCCTAGTCAGTATTCCCATTTTACAATATAGTATCATGTTGTTTTCTGACTAACCTACTAATAATAGACATTGCCACCTCTTGAAGAAGCTCATCTGGTTTTATTAGAATCAAACAAGAATACCAGTATTAAGTGATTTCTTTTACATTTATTGCTTTGAACTGTTTTTTATATAAATTTTTAAAATCTATTCCTATTCCCAGGCAGAGGAGATATGGAGCAGAATGACTCTGACAACCGTAGAATAATTCGCTATCCAGACAGTCATCAACTTTTTGTTGGTAACTTGCCACATGATATTGATGAAAATGAACTAAAAGAGTTCTTTATGAGTAAGTGGTTTATTTTGCTTTTAAGTAAAGTTCCAAGTTAAAATATAAGAATAAAATCAAGCAGGGAGACCTTTTTTATAATCAGTTTTTAAAAAATGGTTTTCTCTATATTCTGTATTCCACTACCAGTCTCACCTTAATTGGTCAGAAGGAAATAAATTTACTATAGCTAATGTTTCCCAGTGACTGATTAGTGTTGATTAGGAGAAGAAAAGCCTGACTAATTGAGTCTTAAATTTGCCAACTACAAGTCAGAATTACGAGAAAACACATTGTCTTTCTAAAGCTTTATCAGTAACTTTTTAAATGAAAAGGCTAGTAATGATGAAAGAGATGTAAACAAGAGACCAGGTCAGCTGTTTGGTATCTAGGTGATGGCTTAACATAAGTGAATGTTACCTTAGTGTCACTGGGTATAGCAGCTTGCAACTTTTATTTTCAAACAGATCAACCTCAACAATTGCAGCCAGCAGAGTATTCTGTTAAAATATTTAACCCTTGGTGTAATGTATATTTTCACAGGTTTTGGAAACGTTGTGGAACTTCGCATCAATACCAAGGGTGTTGGGGGAAAGCTTCCAAATTTTGGTTTTGTGGTTTTTGATGACTCTGAACCAGTTCAGAGAATCTTAATTGCAAAAGTAAGTGATTTAAAGGGTATAAGTCAAGATTTTCTTATTTCTGTTGCAGAAACTATTAACTTGGCACATTTAAAACAATAGAAATCTTTTTTAATGGTAAAGCTAAAAATAGTTTATTGTGAAATGGTATTTATGCAAAGAATAAAGATTTGTCAATAGTATTAAATCTGAGGTGTGGATATTTTAAATTTTATTTGCTCTGCTGAAGAAGTTTGGAAATATTGCATATGTTCATGAAAGTTTTTTTTATTTCTTAATATGTTCTAATTTATTTATGCAGAGTAATAACTAACCTCCCATGTCAATATTTTTCTCCTCTTTTAAAGCCGATTATGTTTCGAGGGGAGGTACGTTTAAATGTGGAAGAGAAGAAAACGAGAGCTGCAAGAGAGCGAGAAACCAGAGGTGGTGGTGACGATCGCAGAGATATTAGGCGCAACGATCGAGGTCCTGGTGGTCCACGTGGAATTGTGGGTGGTGGAATGATGCGGGACCGCGATGGAAGAGGACCTCCTCCAAGAGGCGGCATGGCGCAGAAACTTGGCTCTGGGAGAGGAACCGGGCAAATGGAAGGCCGTTTCACAGGACAGCGTCGCTGAAGCTCCACTGTTGGCAAAGTCTTGGCAGTGGTACATTATTCATCGTGTTTGCATTCTTGTTAATTTTTTTGGCTTTGGAATGTGACACAGCCTTTTTGATCATTTCTTTGATGTGAAAAGCATCTTTGGTTCAGTTAAATTGAGGTGGACATTATTTCCCCAATTTCACAACAGGATTTACATTGTTAATTTATAAATCTAGACTTGGAGAATTAAGGACTGAGAAATGACCATATCTTAAAACTATCTACAACAAAATGAACTTAAAAGGACATGCCCACTGAATTCAGGTCCTTTGAGTCAAAAAAAAAAAAAAAATCTGCTGCACATTTTGTTTAAGTGTTACTGTTTCTGCCTATTAATGTTGGAAACACAAATAGTGCAATTTGTGCAATTGGAGAATCTTGCCTTTTTTCTTGGCTCCCCCCAAAAATACAAACCAACAGAAACTTATTATGCACTCATCAAAATGCACTATTGGGTACTCTGAACTCATTAATATTGACATCTGCAACAGGAGGCAACAGGGAAAAAAAAATCTTTCATCTTTTTTCCAGTAGAGAATAGTTTGTGAATGAGGGCATTTTATCTGCTTGCTGTGACCAGCGTGTGTACTCTTAAACCTTAACAAGACTACAGAAATATTCCAGAAGGAAATCATTTAGTTGTGAACTAAATAACAAATCAGAACTTCAAATGTTATGGTCTTGAATATTAGACCAGATTTAGTAGCTCCATAAGAGTTTTCTACCTGCCCCTCTTCAGTACAGGGATGGCTGGCTGCTCAACACAACACTCCTCCTCCCTTTTCCTTTCTTTAAGCTGTGTACAGTGGAAATTGTCTTTCCTGTATTTTTGTTCTCTGGTAATGTAATAAGCATGATGGTGCCTTCTATTAATACATCATTCCAGTCTTGCTGGTAATTTTGTACAGTATAGTTTATGAATTGCTGTGCTGCAAAGCCAAACAGCTGCAAAATGTTGAAAAATCATTGAAGTGTATAAAAATTGCAGTATCTTTAAAATCAGTAAAATGGACGCTTATTATTTATCTTGTTTTTCAGTTAACAACTTTTGTGTTCTTTGTGGGAGGGAGTCTTGTGTGTTTGAAATGGAGAGGGAAGAAAGAAGTCAGTTATTTGAGTGTCTCTAGTTGACTTTTAGCTTAAGTGTGAACCTTGAAACATCATTTCAACTCTTGGGAAAGTCAGTCAACTTGATGTACATTTTTAGTGACATTTTAAAAGCAGTCAGATTCCATATGTGGCAATTAAACCTAAAGTGAGGATACTGCAATTTTAAGAGGAAAGAACAGCAGCTCTTAAGTGTTTGCATTTTCTATTTGGGGGGCAGGGAACTGTCATTCATTTTGCACAATTCTTGAACTGATGTCAGCCCCCTAGTGGCTCCTGAATTTAAGTCTGGGATGACATCTTTTTATTTTTACATGAATCTCTAAACAATTCTGTAGGCAAAATTTGTAGCTGCTGGATTATTGTCTGTCATTATAGCAAGTTCCAGTATACCACAAGTATGGCCAAGGTTATCTAATTTTTATGCTTGGAGCAATCAGTACATACCAGTTTCTGATGTTTCAGGCAAAAAGTGGGGTAAATAAGTGTGTAACCACTTAAAGCTGCTTGTTAGCATGGAAGACTTCTCCATTCTATCTTAGTAAAAACAAAATCTGCACTTGACATAGTAGCAAATTGGTTCTGAATTATGCAACTGTTTGCTATTTAGTAAACTAGCAAATGATGCACGTATTTTGTTTTTTATGAACTGGGCAATATGAATACAATTAAATCTTGTCTTTCTCCCCCCCTCCCCCCCTTAAATGAGGTCTTCCATGTTTGAGGAAAAGTCTTGCACTATTGCATATATTTGGGGGACATAGATTTTCATTTTTGTGGGCTTAAGGATTTTTGTTTGTTTTGTTTGTTTGAAACAGTTTTACACTTTCTAATGTATAGTACTTGAAGTTCTTACCAGAAAATTACTTTGAAGTTTTGAAGCCTTTATCCAAACTACTTTTAAATAAGTGGTTCTATTGTCAGTGTTTTTTTTCCCCCCCAAGCATGTTTTTCCTCTTCTTTCTCCTTCCCATCATATATATATGTATGTATATGTATATATATGTATATATATATACACACACACACACACATATATATATATATATATATACATATATATATATATATACACACACACACACACACACACACATATATATATAGACACACACACATATATATATATATATATATTTCCAATCCAGGATATTGCCCTGTAACCCATAAAAACTGTTCTGGCACCAAAAGAAATGACAAATGTTAAGTGTAATAGAAAAGTAGAGCAAAGAGCCATTCAGCTTCAGTTTTTACATACCAGAAATGAAACATTAAAACATCATATGGAGAAGTTTACATGGTGATTGTTCACCTGCAGTACTGTGGACTTTTAACATTTTGTCCCCTTTTCTGTGAAGCAGTAAAAATATTCATCTATCATTACTGTTATTTTCTGATTTTATTTTATTTTTTGATGGTAATATTCTATCCTTATGACACTATTGCAACCAAATTGGCTTTACCATCTTGGCTTTAGTAGGTATAGAAGACAATGGATTACCATCTTTATTGCTGTAATGTGTTAAGCATTATATGCTAGTAGAACCTAGTTTAATTGTTTCGGGTGGAAAGTATTCTTTTTTGAGTTTCCATTTTGAATGTGTTTGGACTAAACCAACAATAAACTACTGATGTCTGCAGCACTTATCTATGTCCCGAATTTAATCTGTAGTTTTATGTTCCCAACTATCTTCTCCCACTTGCATTTCATACAACCTAAGTAAAAATAAGGAATTATTCTGAAAATCAACTGCTTATTATTTGTGATATTTGATGTATAAATAGGCAAAACATTTAAGTAACACTTGAACGTTGTTAGATCTATGCCAATAGAGTTAGACAGCTGGTATACAAGTTAAACAATATAATAGTAGAAAGTAAGGAAGAAGAGAAAAAATCTAAAGCACACCACTAAATAGTTATTTGGCCAAAAAAAAAAAAAAGAGAGAGAGAAAAAAAATACCTTGAGTTTTCTAAAGGATTTCTACCTAATATCTCAGAAGGAAAAGTGAGAAAGAAGGGATGAGAGGATCCAGGCTATTATAATGGATGTGTGGCCTAAGATCAGGAATGAGAACAAGCTATATAAGAATATTAGAAATGCTCATTTAGGCATATTTAGTCATGCCTCAAATGAAAAATAAGGTTCTAAAGCATATGTAATTTCAAAAGTTTAAACTTTTCCTGCTAATATTCATAACACTGTTTAAGATTCCTAAATTAATCTTTACTAGGTGGTTCTGGAGAAAAATCAGAATTAAATAATCTTTAGGAGGCAGTAAGACTTAATAAGTATTTTGTAATACAAATGTAAATTAATCTAGCTTTATGGAAAAACATTTTTTAGAGGAGATAAAGGTATCCCCACACTTTTGAAAATAGATCCAAATTTGAAGAAGCAAGTTATTAGATTCAGGAAATTATTTTTTTTCATTTTTTAGCTTTTTGAAACAGTCTTGCCATCTTGCCTAGGCTGGTCTTGAATTTTTGAGTTCAGGTGCTCTTCCCATGTTAGGACTACATGTGTGTATTATCAAGCCTGACTTGCATATTATTTTGTGGTGCTGGGGATTGGACCTAGGACCCTGCTCATGCTAGGCAAGTTCTCAGGCTCTGAGCCTCTTTTCCCAACAGGTCCAGAAGATTTGTAGGAGCAAAATATTTGAAAGCATTAACCATTCAATATGCTTCATTTCATTTATGTTATATGATAACAGTCTTTTTAAAGGTACAGTCTGTGTAGCAGTGAATGAAAAATTAGTGAATTGAGTTCACATATTTTCTTTAAATTGGGTTAACTTAATCAACTTATATTTTAACTGCAGGTCAATAAAGACCCTATATTTTGTGGGGAGGATCGGTGTGTGTTCATAAGACTTTGTGGTAGGTTTCAGTAGTTTCACGAAGAAAGTAGTAACATTAAAAAGTAATTGTTTGCTGGGCACTGTGGCGCATACCTGTAATCCCAGCAGCTGGGAAGGCCGAGGCAGAAGGAACTTGAGTTCAAAGCCAGCTTCAGCAAAAGTGAGGCACTTAGCAAATCAGTGATACCCTGTCTCAAATAAAATACAAAATAGGGCTGCAGATATGTGGTTCAGTGGTCGAGTGCCCCTGAGTTCAATCCTTGACCACCCCCCCCCCAAAAAAAAAGTAATTGTTAAAAATGATTGTAAATTTTGAGTTGGGGCTGGGGTTGTAGCTTAGCGGTAGAGTACTTGCATAGCACGTGCAAGCCCTGAGTTCGATCCTCAGCACCACATATAAATAAATAAATAAAGGTATTGTGTCCAACTATAACTAAAACAAAAATATAAAAAAATTTTTTTTTGAGTCAATTCCTAAATGAAATTACTGGCTATTTTTGAAAAATAGGGGCTAAAATCTTCAAATCCATTTGTGTAGCACATGTATACATTATAATGTGTAATGTATTTCAGAACTGCAGTAAGTAAAGTCCATTTTGCATTACCACATACTTGGGGAAAAATACTGTAAATACAGATTCAGAATTAGACATTCATGGAAAGATTACTAGTCTGTGAATTGTCTCATTAACTGATGGCTTTTTTCTTCGTTTCTAGAATTTTGATAAAGCTGTTGTCTTCCTTGAATATGTGATTTTTAGCTATTTTCTTTTTTTACACCATAACCTCATTCCTTCTTTCCATAGTCTATTCTTTCCCCTTTTCTTGATGGTTTTGTTTAGGCCAGGTACTACCTTGGCTTCAATATATAATTCATTCAATGAATTATTCCTTGTTGTATATGATAGTCAAGAGCAATGTTTTTGTTGTTGTTTGCAGTGCTGGGGATTGAACCCTGGACCATGTTCATGCTAGGCAGGCACTCTACTGTTGAATTATGCCCTCAGGCCAAGAGCAGGGTTTTGAAGACACAGCCAATGACATCTCTTATCATTTCAGTGGTGCCTATTTTCCTGTGCCTGTTTCCTCTTTTGTAAAGTGAGGTAGGTGATTGTAAGATTCAGTGAAAATAAAGTATCTAAAACAACGTTAATAGGCCCCTATTAAGTGTTAGTTAATGTTGTTGACTCAAATGTATTTCTGCTTTCTACCCTGTTACAAACATGTCTTTAAATATCTTTTTGATTGCATCATCTTGGAAGGCACTAGGTAATTTAAAATTAGGAACTCCAAAAAAATGTTATTTTTTCTAAGAAAATTAGCTATGTCTATCTGCCTCTTTAATAATGAACATCTCTGTTTTTCTGATCTATTTTAATCAGCCTAGAAATGTTTGAAGTCTCATGAGTTCCATTCAGTGTTTTCTTCGTTGTGTGTATTACACTTTGCAAGGAGACTTGCTGATGTTACTCTGATTAACTTATAGTGGCTCATTCAATTCATTCATTAACAAGCTGAAGGGAATAGGTGGTGTTAAAGAAGAATCTGAAGTTTTTCCCTTGCAGGTCGATGCAGTAAAATGATATGTGATAAGAACACAAGGGGAGACAAAGACATTTGAGAAGGATGGACAGAAGGACGGACACAAATACATACATGCATACAATATGCATGTTACAGGAAGTACATCAAAAGGATGCAGCACACAGATGGTCCTATAAATATTTTGGCATATGTTGTTTTTCTTTTAAATTTTTAAAAAATTTTTATTAGTGCATTACAGTTATACATAATATTGGGGTTCATTTCAGCATGATCATACATGCTACTCCACTGTTATTTCTTTTTCATGTTATTCACTGCTCTAATGAAGACAAACCATGAACAGTGTTTACCAAGAGTTTGTTGAACAGCCCTGTATGTCATGCTGTATTGGATACATGAATCAATGGACAAGGCCCCTTGATCTCACTGAGCTTATTTACTTGATAATGGAGAAGTAGTTGTAAATGCTATGCCTCGTATTAAAAGAAGGAAATGTAGGGGCTGGGGTT